GGCCGGAGGGAGCCAGGACCCCGGGGCCAGCAGAGCCCAGGAGGCTGGTGGGTAACTGGTGCTTCCCGCGCCTGTGAGTGAATGACCATGAAGAGCAAAGTCCCGGGGCAGGGTCAGTGCTGAGGCCTGTGGGGGAAGGTGGGGGGGGAGGCTGCTTTCCAGGAAGGTCGCTGGGCTCCAGGCTGCCCCCTGCAAGCCCCTTGAAGCCTCCCTTTGCCTTGCAGGCGAAGCTGAACGAGAGTGTGCACTTCCTATCGGCCATGGCCCCCCACCTCCAGGTACATCCGTCCGCAAGGCGGTGGGCAGTGGTGGCCCCAGCTCCTGCCTTGAGTGCTCTGCCCTGCTCTGCAGTGACCACAGGGAGCCAAGCCCCGGCACTCCCTTCCCAACCGAGCCCCGGCTGCTGGAGGGTCTCGTGAGGGGACAGACTCGTGGGCAGGACACGCCCTTCCTCTCTCTGTGCCCACTTCCCACGGCGGTTTGAGGTGCGCTGTTCTGTGGACCCCTCCATCTGAGCCCTCAAGGGGGGAAATTCACTCTAGATTCCCCCAAGCTGGGTTTCCTCCCTGCTCCCCGCCCTGGGCTGCCAGCACCCCCTGCTGGGCCACGGAGAGAATTCACTCCCCTGGGGCTGGGCTCCCAAATCTTCCAGGATCCCCCGTCCCTCGGGGCAACGGGGCGAGGTCGTCTCTCTGACTGGCCGGCGTCTGTGAGCTCTGGAGCGGCACCAGCCCTTTCCCAGTCTGGAGGACGGGCGCCAAGGACCCCGGAGGCTTGTCTGCCCCACCCACGGCCATGGGTCCCGTGGAAGATATGACCTCCCCCACCCCGTCTGCTACTATCCAGGGACCACCCCAGCGGCCACCACACTCCATCCCTGGGCCCTTTTCAGCCCTGGGCTCCACCCACACGTGGCTCCCCCGCCTGGCCTATGGTTCAAGGTCCGTTCCGCCCGGTCGCCCTTCTCTGGCACTGCAGCCCCAGCTGTGTCAGCGGGAGGAGCCCGGCAGGGATGGGGTAACCTCAGCTTCTCTCTGGAGCGGGGCCGTGGCCACGGCCGGAGAGTAAAGAGGCTTCTGTGCCGCTCGGGCCAGGCGGGCGTTTCGCGGGGTTGACCCTGCGGGAGATGCTCAGCGAGAAGCCAGCTGGTTCCCTGGCCTAATGAGGGAAGAAAGAACCTTCCCCCTTCAGTGGATTCCCTGCAAAGCTCCCAGCTCCTTGGCAAATTCACACCGTGGTCCTCGGGCTTCTCCTGCTGCCCAGCGAGAGGTCTGCCAGCCCCTCTCCCTAGCGGCACAGGCCGGGCAGAGCTGAGCAGCTCACCGGCCGGACACCAGACCAGGCTCAAGCTTTGCTCTTCCTGCTCTGGGCCGAGGGACCATCCCGCCCTGTCTGACCCTGCCCTCCCACGGCTGCGTTCTCCTGGGGCCACAGACCTGCCCGGCCCCCAGGGGCGACGGGCAAGGGGAGGAGTTCAACAGCCCAGACCCTCGCTAGCGCTTCCAAAGCTGGAGGCGCGACCCATGCCCGCGGCCAGCGGCCCTCCCAACCAAAGCCTGGGGGCAGCCCCACCCTGCGGCTTGCCGGAGGGAGCAGGAGAGACAGCTTTGTGAGCACCACGCTGGGCAACCCCAGAAATCAAGCCTCGGCCTGCCCCACCCCAGGCTAGAGCTACAGTCTGAGCGGCAGAGTCAGGCTTTTCGGCAGCCCCCAGCTGTAAGAGACAGCCTAGGGAGTGTGTCCCGGTCTGGCTGCCAATACATTCCATGAGCCTGGGCAAGTTCCACCCGGCCCCCTCCGTGCCTCAGTTTCCCCACCTGTTACATGGGGATAGGGACGTGTATCTTCTGGTGTGACGGTCAGTGAGCTCATGCGTGTGTGTTCACGCTGCTGCACAAGAGTCCTACCGCGCCGTCCTTAATTAGAGCCCCTGCTCCCAGAATTCCCTGGTGCAGTTCTCCATACCCTTCCCCACCCCTCAATTCCTAGCACCATCCAGCTCGCCTCTGAAGTGCCTCTCTCCTCCCCGCCCGCCTCTCCCGCCAGCTCCTCTTGAAACAGACCATGGCCGAGATCACCCTTGTCGAGACCTTGCTCCCCGCGAAGGCGCAGCGACACCTGAGGCAGGTGAGTGAGGCGGGGTCCTTACCCCACTGGGCGCTGAAGAACAAACCTCCGGCCGCACGCAGCGCTGGGGCGCCGCAGTCAGAAACCACCGAGCTAGCTGCAGAGCAGCCAGAGACCTTTGGGCCCCCCTCACTCCCTGCCTACAAACCCAGTGCTTGCTGGGGCGTCTGGGACGGCAGCCCAGGAGTCCAGGGGGCGGCCTGACCTGCGCCGGGGCAGCTCCCAAACCCGTCTGAGCCTACTCGGGGCCAGGCTGCACGCCGGGGCCCTGGCTCCCTCACGAGCCTGGGGAAGCCGTCGTGTGTCCCTCAGGCTGCCGTCTGTTCCCGCAGGAGATTGGCTGCTTCACGAGGAAACAACTGGGCCATTTCTCACAGTACCTGAACTGGGTGCGGCGCACGGTAGGTGCTAGCGTCAGCCGAGGAGCCGAGCAGGGGGTGTCAATGCTGTTTGTGCCTGTTATCGCTGTCAGAGCCCCAGGCCTGGCCCGGAACCGGAGCCCGGTTACGCTAGGTGCTGCGCAGACACAGAGCACAGCGGGGACGATCCTTAGCTTGTCCGCACCTTGAAACGCTGCAGCAGGGCCGCTGTAGCCCTTCGGTGCAAACCCACAATGGGCAGGCGAGGCTAGTGAGCGGGCCGCTGGAGTGGTCCTACTTCTCAGTGGGCTGCAAGACGGTCCTAGCCAAGATGGTCTCCGGGGACCGGGCGGTGTTGCTCATGGTGCGGTCCTCGAATTTGTGGGCAGTGCCGACCGAACCGTGTACAGGATATTTTGGCCTTGGAAAGGGTTCAGAAAAGGGCAACTAAAATGATGAGGGGTTTGGAACGGGTCCCATATGAGGAGAGGCTAAAGCGACAGGGACTTTTCAGTTTGGAAAAGAGGAGACTGAGGGGGGATAGGATAGAGGTCTATAAAATCATGAGTGGTGTGGAGAGGGCTGATAAAGAAAAGTTATTTATTAGTTCCCATAATAGAAGAACTAGAGGACACCAAATGAAATTAATGGGTAGCAGGTTTAAAACTAATAAAAGGAAGTTCTTATTCCCACAGCGCATAGTCAACCTGTGGAACTCCTTGCCAGAGGAGGCTGTGAAGGCCAGGACTGTAACAGAGTTTAAAGAGAAGCTAGATAATTCATGGAGGTTAGGTGCATAAAAGGCTATTAGCCAGGGGATAAAATGGTGTCCCTGGCCTCTGTTTGTCAGAGGCTGGAGAGGGATGGCAGGAGACAAATCGCTTGATCATTGTCTTCGGTCCACCCCCTCTGGGGCACCTGGTGTTGGCCGCTGTTGGTAGACAGGATACTGGGCTAGATGGACCTTTGGTCTGACCCAGTACGGCCGTTCTTATGTTCTTATGTACCATTTCTCTAGCTCGTCCAAATAATTTTGAATTATGGCTATCTTCCAAAGTACTTGCAATTCCTCCCAACTTGGTATCATCTGCAAACTTAAGAAAGCGTACTCTCTATGCCAATATCTAAATCATTGCTGAAGATATTGAATAGAATTGGCCACAAAACAGACCCTTGAGGAACCCCACTTTTTATGCCCTTCCAGAACGATCGTGAACCATTAATAAATTCTCTCTTAGAATGTATCAGAGGGGTAGCCGTGTTAGTCTGAATCTGCAAAAGCGACGAGGAGTCCTGTAGCACCTTATAGACTAACTGAAGTGTAGGAGCATTAATGCTCCTACACTTCAGTTAGTCTATAAGGTGCTACAGGACTCCTCGTCGCTTTTGCAGATTCAGACTAACACGGCTACCCCTCTGATACATTCTAAGAGAGAATTTATTAATGGTTCACGATCGTTCTGGAAGGGCATAAAAAGTGGGGTTCCTCAAGGGTCTGTTTTGTGGCCAATTCTATTCAATATCTTCACTTGGGCTTCGCGTGCGTGTCGCTTTAATGACACCAGTAGGAAAAACCTCTCCGTGGGGGGAACCAGCAGGATCCAGCAGCCCGGGGCATGGGCCTTGTGGGCCACACGCCGATCCCTGCCCGTGGGTGTAGGTTGCCCACCAGGGGCGTAGGCGCTTTAGCCAGTAATCCGCCCTCCTGGGAGACGGCAGCGGGTTGGGGGAAGGATTCGGTGCGGGCGGCGAGACGGCGGATGGGGACGGAGACGGGTGGGAACGAGGCAGCGACAGGACAGTCCCAGATGGCTGGGGCAGCTGGGTCTCCGTAAGCCAGGGGACTAAGCGGTGTCGAGTGTCCTGTAGGCAAAGCAGCGGGGGAGGAGGGCTGTGAAGGGGGCGAGTGAGCGAGGGGGACGAATACAGGGACTGCCTCCGCAGAGGGAGGGGGCTGGGGAGGAAGCATGAAGGGGCTTGTCTGAAAGGGGACCGGGTTGGTGGCTGTTCGATACGAGAGAGGAAGGTTTGTTGTGGCCCTGGGCGAATACTCTCCCCGGGGGAGGCATACTTAGTTTGCAGCCCCCACCCATTCTACAGGGCCCCACGTCACAGCGGGGCTGGCTCTGCAAGTACCCCAGGGGATGCCCTTGTGCGTGGGCCTGCGGTGCGACACAGCCTCCTCGTGTGACCGTGAGCAAGTGCTTGTTGTCACTCTGCCTCGCTTTCCCCTGACTTGAAATGGAGATAACAACCCCTAGTTTTTTCCTAGTACTTTCTAGCCATAGATCTCAAAGCATTTGACCCAGGACTACCGAATCTTTACCCCATCACACCAGGGGAAACTGAGGCCCGAGAACAAAGTGACTTGCCCGAGGTCACCCGGCACCGTAGTGGCAGAGCTAGAAATGGAGTCCCAGTCTGCTGAATCCCACTCCAGTGCTCTCTCTGCTGCTTCCCCACGTAACACCTCCCCTCGTGGGTGGTCCTTGTCGGGGGCTTGGGTATTAGGGTGACGGAGGCCAATGTGAAACGGAGTCAGCTCTGTTAAGGGCTTAGTGTGACGTAGTGGGGGTACTTGCTGGGCTGTGGTGACCCCTGCTGTCTGGAGCAAGACCCAGCAGGGAAAACCTCACTATGCAAAGGTGACTCCATACCGGTTGAACCAGCCAACCCCCCATGGGGAGAAACAAAGGGAGGTGGATGCTGCCCTGGCTGGGGGCAGGGCTTGGAGAGGGGGAGTTAGTTCCTGGCTGGAAAGCAGGGGAGAAGGAACTGGGGAGGGGGCTGGGATTCCCCTATCTCAAGGGGGGCACTGAGGCCTCTTAGCCCCCAGTTCCTGTAACTAGGGCTGTGTCCAGACTCAGGGGTTTTTTCGGGAAAAGTAGCCTTTTCCCGAAAAAACTTCCCCTGCGTCCAGACTCAAGCCGTGTTCTTTCGAAATTATTTCAAAAGAATGCGGCTTTTCTTTCGATGGCGGTAAACCTCGTTTCACGAGGAAGAACGCCTTCTTTCGAAAGTTCCTCTTTCGAAAGAAGGCGTTCTTCAATGTAAATAGGGCTTCCTCGAAAGAGAGCATCCAGACTCGCTGGGTGCTCTCTTTCGAAAAAGCGGATTTCTCTTTCGAAAGATCCGCCTGCAGTCTAGACGCGATCTTTCGAAAGAGGCTCTTTCGAAAGATGCTTTCGAAAGA